CAGCTAAGGGGAATTCAGACTGCTGTAAAGCAGTATGACGCAGTTAATGACGGATCCGAAATCATTTCATATATTACCTCAAATTAAATTAATACTTCGGTTTAAAAGTTACACAGTGCTGTTTTAATGATGATGATGATGTCATCACAGCCATGACAAAATACTTGATATATACTTAATAAATGAGAGAAATCATCAGAAATAAACTATATTTTAACTGCATTTGAAAACAGGCATGAAACCTTTAAGTTTCATTCCTGTTTTCACATTTAAGTCACATAAAGAACTTTTTTTTTTTCCAGAAAAACAACACATGCCAATATAGAACTGTTCATTGTAATAAAACATGTATAAGTGTATCTCATGTATCAACTTTCTAGACACACACAAGTAAAAAAATAAAAATATACAACACCATTAGGCAAGCTGGGGGTTTCATACAGAAGTACTGTATGGAGGAAGGGGAGTCTTTAATTTGATATATGAAGTACTGGAGATTTTTTACTGAGCTGTGAATTTAAATAATGACTAGCACTGCTGGAAATGTTATTATTGGAGAGGTAGTTGTCAGGTAGCAATAGCAGTTTTGTCTGTGAGCTGCAGGATCTCAGTGGAGATCCAGAAATTTTAAAGGTCAAGTCTATAGCCAGACTACAGACAATTATAAGTAACTCTTCATTCCTTATTCACATTTCCTTTCAGCTTTATTGACTTTTGCTTTCGGCTTTTAACTTTAGAGTTGCATCTTTTATTAGTATAGTGTTATTTCCCTAAAATAAATGAACAAGATTTTTAATTGTAGAAGATTCATCTTTGTCTTGACAGTATCAAAAGACTTCAGATAAGCTATCAATGCAAAAAAAAATGGACAGTAAATCTTTTATATGATTAAAAACCAATGAATAATTCTCAAAGTGGTTCTGAAAGATTACGATTATGTTCTATGATGTACATTAAATATTAAATAAAACCTTAAATAAACTGGCTCACTAATGAAGAAAGTTTTTGAAGTCAAAATAAAAACTGTACACGCTATTTTTGGCATTAGTGAACATCTACAGTTTTCGTCCTTCCTCTTTCTGATAACTTGTAAAGATTTTCAAATGAATTTAAAATGTGTCATTGAAGTACTAATTTTAAATCCTGGACAACATAAAAGGCCTTTATCTAATGCTTAACATTTTTGCTGTCCTGCAGTCTTTTTCACAAATTGACATTTGCACAAAAATTGTAAAAATGGAGCCTAGTCAGAAGTTCAACTGAAGAAACTTACTCTCACCCACCTGCGACACAAGCTAATAAACTTTGAACCGCACCTCCACAAAAGCCCAATCAGCATCCATAGTTCTTTCTAAAAGGTCTCCAAATCCATAACTCAGTCTGCTACCAAAAGCGCAGCAACTGGTTGTGCTATGTCATACTTCAATTCAGATGACCCCGATTCAACCCACCCCCATCCCCTCCTCCACCATCGTAGCTAAATTTTCGTTAGAGTGTAATTCCTCTCGGACTCTTGCTGCGCTCCCTGTCTGATCACAACTGGTACGGCAAAAGGCCGCCATGTTGAGCCTTGTTCTGCCAGAGGTTTCCTCTCAAAGGGGAGTTTTTCCTCTCCACTGTTTCCATATGCTTGCTCATCATGGACAGGTTTTTGCAACCTGTGTTATACAAGCTGGACTTTCAACCTCCAGGTCCCTGAGTGAAGCACTAGTATCAGCTAACGCAGTCTGCTGGATCTCTCCATACAGCTCAAGCACACCATCTCTCCAACCAGCAGTCTATGGACTGACTAACTTCATCCACCTCCACTCCACCACCAGTTTCAAGCCTGGGGGGAAACATCCCTGTTCTTTACCGCTGTTCATGCATATTTAACAAAATTGAGCATTAATGTTTCCTGCCGAGGTCTGAGCGCCAAAGACTAAAGTAATTGGATCAATAAAATTCTTCTAATTGCCTTTTCCTTTCCATGTAATTTTTCCAGATTAAAATGCATGTAATACATTTGTGGGCATAAAAAGGTAATAATGGAAATTAACTTTAATTCTATTTTTAAATGTTATATAAGTTCTATTTTAGTATTTTATGTTTTTGCATTGTTTTAATAAAAGAGATTTAAAGCAAATTGGTCAATGTAACAAACGCTACTCTGTGTAATTCTGTATGTGGGTGTGTGTTTGTGAGAAAAAAATAACATACAATCCAAGGTGATCTTATTAAAAAATGTAACTTTTCATTTGCAGATTTCACTTTAGCCTAGCCCTATGAGGACAGGAAGTAATATTTTGCAGTAACTTTCATGCACATAAATTGTAGCCAGTGTCTGATTGCATACAAAAAAAACATTGAAACCTTTTTAAACCATTATTTAACCCCCTCCTGTGGGCTTGGCAGAGTAAAAATTTACATATCTATTTTTTTGCATGATCAAATATAGTTTGAAAAGAATATGAGTGATCTTTGAAATACTGTAAAGAGTTCATTTGTCATGATCTGCTCTGATAGCTGGCCTTAATAGCTCCTTTCACTCACCTGCCTAGTTGCCCAGGTTGTAATCATCGGATCTCATCCACCTGCCGGTTTCCCTTATATTGGGTTCAATTCCAGCTATAATGGCTAGATCATTGTTTGACTTCTGTTTCTCCAGTCAGTCAGTTTTGTTAATTTTAGTTAGTTCCAAGGTTTTTGTCCCTGTTCCACTGAGGAGTTTATTCTCAAGCCAGTGTCCTCAGGCGAGTTATTTTTTCTAACCAGTTGATGAGAGCATTTCAGCGTTTCCATAGTGATTCTGTTTTCCTGATTCTGTTCCTTCTCACACACTGGCCCTGTCTGTCCCTGCCTGATCTGCCCACCTTAACCTCAGTAGGACTCCTGCTGGATTCTGCCTCTCTGTGTGTTTCAATCTAAGCTGGTTGCTTGACGCACAGGACTCTAAACCTGGCTTCACGCTCTGATGGATTCCTGGAACCCGGATCTGTCCGTTCCTGAGTGGTGCAATCTGTTAAACCAGGTAAGTGACTCACTCTAATAATCTTCTGATCAGATGATTGTGGTCACTTACCTGTGTTTCTCCCTAAACCAGAGTGTCAGTGATTGGGCGGTGCCCGCCTCCCTCCTGCAGTTGGGACGCAAATCCTCAGCAGTTAGCTTCTGTTCTGTTCTGTTTTTTATTTTATTAAAAGTTTCGAACTTTCCTACTGGCTTTCTCACCTTGATTACTGGGTCCATATGTCTCGTTTCATTACATCCAATGGATAAAATTGTACTTTAACTCAACTCTGCCTCCTGTATAACATATAAAAATCTACATCAGATCCTATCCGACCTAATTTGATATGCCTTCTCATTGACATCTTGAAAAATGAACATCCTTATTCTTAAATAAGCTCCCTCCATTAATAAAGTGGCCACCTGTGCTTGGAAGGTCGGATGGGGACCAAACCTGCTGAGACATAGAGGCAGCGATGTGCAGCTTGGGTAGGCTAAAACCAGATTAAATTTGTCTTACTACTGAAGGGGTTTATTGTAGACCCTTTTATTTGTTTACTGTAAATGCAGCTGGTTCAAACAACTCTGCAGAAAATTGGCTAAAAGTCTGCAGCTTTTCGTTGAATGTTTCTACTAATCCACTTAGTTAAAACAATTTTTTTTTTAACTTTCTAGCAGTAGCGTCACATTGAGATGAGGTGATTTTAATTTCCCAATCAGATCATTGTGCACAAAAAATTTTAAGAAGAGAGGTTGAGACGTAAGATTTGTAATAAAGGCAAAGTTTATTGTATCTATGGTTACTGTTTTCTATTGTTTCTTGCTGGATTCTGTTTGCCTTTCTCCTCTTATTCAAGCCTGTTTCTTCCTAGCTGTTCTGACTAGTTCTTTATTTGCCCTCTGCTGTCTTCTTATAGGAACTGTAAGTTTTGAATTTGTAAATGATTTCTATTAACTAAGCTGCTGTCATATCTTTGTGTATCGTGGAAGTACAAATATCAAAGTTAATTTCCTCTCATTGTAGGATTTTGAAAGAGATTGACATTTGTAAAGAATGTCATTTACTTAAAAAGAAAGATCTAATCTGAAAAGAAACGTTATATTTTTTCCCTTTTTAAATCTGTGTAGTAGTACTTAAGTGTGAAAAAAAAACTCTACAGCCTTCAATTAGTATGCTATAAGGACTTGCAGTAATAAAAAATAAAGAAAATGAAAAATGGCCAAAAATCGCACTTTGACCCAAAATGGCCGACTTCCTGTGGGTTTTAGGGCATACCTCCAAGAGACTTTTTTTCATGATTTGAGGAGCTCTACCTGTGTGCCAAATTTCAAATCTCTGTGACTTACAGTTTCCCCCAACTCACGTTAGGGGGCGCTGTGGCGTAATTTGGCGGCAGCCATTTTGGATTCCATTATAGACCGGCTATTTCACACAGGGGACAATTTACTGCTACGTTTTCCTGAGTTTTTGAATATGCGAAGTCCCCGTAAAATGCGTTCGAAGTGAGAAAAGAAAAAGAATAATAATAAGAAACCTAACAGATACAATAGGCTCTCGCAACCTTCGCTGCTCGGGCCTAATTACTGCTGTGTGTAGTTTTCTTAGCAAACCTGAGAGGTTTTAAGGCTTTTATAATTACATTTTACCAAACTTATTTAAATTTTAATTCTCAAGAAAAAAGTATGACACATTAAATAACTTGTTTTTGGAACAACAGCACATTTAAAAAAACAGGAAGAAAGATTTTTCTACATGCACCACCTAAAGGGAACATTTCTTGAAGAGAAAGAAAACAAAAGATTTTTTAGAAGTCTTAGTCTTCAAACCTCTTTTATTCTGAAAGTGGAACTAATATAGTTTTCTGTCTGAATGTGGCCATTCCCATTCTCCAACAACACCTAAAGGCCAGAACGGAAGAATGACACATGCTTATTTCCTTTAAGTGATCGTGTTTCATGGAGGATGTCACCCTGCCAGGTGATAAATACAACAAAGCTAAAACACTCCTTACCCTTGAGGTCCAGGTTGCGAGCACCATTGGAGTGCTGTGTCACGGTGCGTGAGTCGATCTTAAGTGTGTGTACATTGTTGGCATCCCGGGACACCACCACGTTGTGCCATTGATTGTCATTGAGTGGCTTGTCTGAATTTCCCTTCATTAGTGATGGGCCGTTGCCGAGATCAAAGACATAGTGGACGTACCTGCAAGGAAAGCAAATCAAGGCAACAACAGATAAAAGATGTCAATGCAGAAATACAGTCAAAAGCCATCATGGCTGTAACTGTATAGTTACTCTTACCAGACGTTTTATTAGGTACACCTAACTACCACTGAGTGAGCACTTCCCTTTGCCTTAAGCAATGCCTTTGTTATATATATATAAAAAAAAAAGTTTTAAATTCTATTGCTTTTGAACGGCACTTTGTGAAACACTCACATCGACTACTCTGACACTAACAGCCATGGCAACAAAATGTGCCTTACAGAGAACAGATTCAGTATTGGTGACTCAGTGCTTTAAATCCCTTGTCTTCCCCAGCTTCACACTTCAGCATGTAATCTACAAATGCTTCAGTGCAGTAATAGCTGTCAGGTTATAAGGTGACCTGAGGTGCTGCTATGACGAAGAGGTATAAGCGCATGACCCATATACTGCTGGTGAAGATTCTCAATCGTCCATTGTTCAGCCAGGCCAACAATTTCCTTTAATTACATCCCTTTCAGAGACATAGATAGGTATAGGGCATTGCAGGCTAACAAAAGAAGCCAAACAACCCCCATTCCAATGGGGTGGACCCATTCGTCCGTTTCAATGTGCATGTTTTCTCAAGGCTTTGTTGGGCCACTGTATAATGACTCACACCCGAATGCTATTTCTGACATTTTGAATTGAAAAAGCTTCCTGGATGGGAAGCGAAACGTCTACAAACTTGGATACAAAGTCCAATGGATGTTTTTTTACTTTTTTGGAATGATCCATAAACTGGCCCTGCTCATCTCTCCCGGGTGTCTCTCCCTTCTCTTCTAATACACTTTCCCCCGTCTCCATATATATATGTGTATATATATATATATATATATATATATATATATATATATATATATATATATATATATATATATATATATATATGATAAAAAGTATATATAAGAGAAAAAGTTTCTGCCTCACGTGGAACTTACGACATTTGTTAAGGTTTTATTTTGAACTGACCCAAAAATGAAGCTGCCTTCTCCTAAAGCTTGTGTTTTTTTCATAGTAATTGATATAACACACCCTTCTCTGAGTCAAATATGGCGCTCATTTGTATTTCTGAATGAGTTTTTTTTTTCTCTCTCCTTCATCTGAATTCTTTTGTTTTTCCTATTGTCTTTGTGGCAGAAGCAGCTTAAAAGCTTTTGTGTGTATAACAATGCTGACAACCGACCACAAGACACAGAAAAAGACAAAAGAAAACATGCCTTTGTTTGATAGTCTAATTAAGGAGTACCTTTTGTGTTTCTACAATACACAAACCTAACCTGTTTACTCAGTGTTCATCTTTTTGGGTTAGTCTTTTCAGGGCTAAAACTAATGTCAGCCTTCAAAGACTGAATGTTTAACTCAGACTCTCACTGGAATCCCTTTTCAATTCTAGCAGTTTGCTGTAAGAGCAGTGCTTATCGGAGTAAATAAAGTGTTGAACCTAGGAGGCTTAAAGGAAAACCTCCAGTTATGTGCAGCTTTACTTAGAGAGAAATGACTGTAAAAGCCTTTCTATTTCCAGGTCTATTCGGTCCAGCGGGCGATGTGGAGGATCTAGGACTCTGAATAGTACAGAAAGTAAAGTGTTGGCGACAAATTAAATCACAGCTGGTTAATCAAATGTTAATTAGAATGATCAAGTATTTATAACAGTAGAATACCTCTCTGAGTAGACCAGGGGTGTTCAAAGTGCAGCTAGGGGGCCGTTTGTGGCCCTTACTTGAATTTGTGACGACCTTTACCAGGCTTCAAGAATGCCGTAAATATGATTTACGAACCCAGGAGGATGATGTAGATACCTGTTCAGTACAATTTTACTGATATGAAGCCTTTGGAAAATAAACAGACCAGTAATAATCTTAATATACGGTTCAACACAAAAATTTACCAAGTTGTATGCTTTTAAAGGTACACTATGCAACCGGTGTTGATTTTCCAGTGAGGCTCCCTCCAGAGGGCGAAAGTAAAAGTGCACTGTCGTAAATATGCTCAGCTGTTCTCCTGGTTTCTCCGTCAAGCCAGGCGCGGTTGTTTTGAGCTTAGCAGCGAATGACTAACGCTGCGTTCACACTGGATGTAGCTGGCGCGACAGAAGCAGCGAGTTTACATGCAAAGGTCCCGCAGCGCGTTTTGAGCTGCAGGCGCAGCACGTCTGAGCGGCTGCAGCAGCGCGTCGGGTGCGTTTAACGCAGGGAGAGAGACACAGCGCTGATGATCACTGCTCTTAAACAGTTTATTGACGCCTAAATTAACTTAAAAGGCAGAAATCTGCCGGCATAATATGCAGTTTGGATTATTTAGATGAAAAACACCTACCAACTGCCGCGTCGGCGCATCCCTGGTATGTGGGGGTCTGAGCGGCTCCGACAGAAAAAAATATTGAAGGCAGGATAATAATCTGAATGAACTGACTGCACTGATTACGTTTTCAGGTGTATTTTCTCACTTAAACACATATTAAAACTACTTTATTCCCACTGATCACAGCAAATATAGCTGCAAGGCAGAGAAAGGATAGTGAAGCTCCGCCCAACGCGCCTCAGACACACTTTTGCAGCCAGAGCAGCAAAACTGCTTCAGCCGCGCGTCAGTACTAACTGGTACAAGCAGCAAAAATGAAGCAGCAGATGCGATTTTGCTGCTTTTGCTGCGTGAACGTAGCATAACTGCACAAAGATTGCCACTGTGCTTGCAACGAGAATGCTTTTAACTGGGGGGTGTAGCAGTTCTCGCCGTAAAGCAAGACTGACTCTCACGAGACTTCTGAGCCTGTGGGTGCGGGTCGGTGCTCCTGCAGTTGCAAGTGCAGTATTTCCCCCACAGACCACCAGGGCGGCCGAGAATACCTTTGTTCAACCTGAAATGACTCATTTAGTCATCCATAACGTTATGGAACACATTAATTAACTGAAAAATGTTGCATAGTGTCCCTTTAAAGGAAAAGTTCGTTTTTTTACACTTTAAGCCCATTTTCTGTAGTGTCCAGGATGAAATCGAATGATCGACACCAAAAGTTTGACAATTGCTCCTGTCTCTGCTTTTTGGCTCATGCAGAATCCCCCCCTGGCTGCTTTAGAATGGCTTGCATAGAGCATGTCCGATAATGTCCTTAAAACAACCTTAAACGTTCTTTTTTTAAAATATGCTACTCACCGTGTCGTCAGCGCTGTTCAATGACGTTCCAAAAAAAGTTTCGTGAAGAAAAAACTTTCCTGTAGTGTTTTATTTAGCATTTTGTAAATCCCATTGAGTTCTGTAGGAATAGTCAATATTCCGCTGCCACCGGAAACGGAAATGGGGCCTGTTTACACAGTTGTAGTCTTTTCGCTTCACTCTGTGTACTCCGACGTCGAGAATCAAGAATCCACCTTTCGTATTCCATTTTCAGAGTTTTTTAAAGTGTTTAACAGAGACGTTAGCACCTCGACGTCGGAGTACACAGAGTGAAGCGAAAAGACTACAACTGTGTAAACAGGCCCCATTTCCGTTTCCGGTGGCAGCGGAATATTGACTATTCCTACAGAACTCAATGGGATTTACAAAATGCTAAATAAAACACTACAGGAACGTTTTTTCTTTACGAAACTTTTTTTGGAACGTCATTGAACAGCGCTGACGACCCGGTGAGTAGCATATTTAAAAAAAAGAACGTTTAAGGTTGTTTTAAGGACATTATCGGACATGCTCTATGCAAGCCATTCTAAAGCAGCCAGGGGTGGATTCTAAATGAGCCAAAAAGCAGAGACAGGAGCAATTGTCAAACTTTTGGTGTCGATCATTCGATTTCATCCTGGACACTACAGAAAATGGGCTTAAAGTGTAAAAAACCGAACTTCTCCTTTAACTTAATTTAATTACCTTTAATTATTTTAATCACATTTAATTTGACAGTTAAAAGGACCATATATTTAGATCTATTTCTTAATCTCGGCTAAAAAATAGAGTGAGTCATACAAAAAAAAAACCCAACATAATTTAGATAATGAAGTTGCACACTTTAGGCTATTATTTGCTTTTTTTAACATACAAACCTAACAATCTGTTCATGTTTTGGATCTACATGAGTCCACAGGACTATTTCCCACCAAAATCAGATGGCTGTGCTTATTATACTCAAATATTGCAAACATAATGTAATGTTGAGCAGGTTACACTACTGGTGTAGCCCAAACCGACACAAAAAATGTTGACTCTTAATTTTATTCCAAACCAAAAAAACATATATATATATATATATATATATATATATATATATATATATGATTTTATGAATTAAAATAATTTCAAATAAAACTAGTAACTAAAGTGAGTATTAAATATTATAATTTTTTTCAGTATAAATATAAGTTCTTCTAAATATTCATTCTTCTAAAAATACGTTTAGGGTCAGTTTCAAGATAGAAGTTGAATCCAGCCTCAGTTTTAATTGTATCCCAGCACCTAATACGTACGCTATCAGGATTAGTCCAGTGATTACCTCCATCCATCTTTTCTTTAAGTCTTACCAGCTGTTGTGTCCCTCTGCTAAATAAAATCCGCCTGATAACATGCTGCTATCACCGCCACTTTTCACCATGAAGTCACTATGTTCAACGGATGTGTACTGTGTGTACTGTGTTTTTTAAATGTTAGTCCCATCTGCACAGAGCACTTTCTTCCACAGGCATTCTGTTTCCTCCACAATTTGACAAAAAACAACTGTGAAGAACTTTTTTAGTGTGCTCTTTCATTCAGAACCTTATTTTTGCCACTCTTCCATTAAGAAAATATGTGTGTAGTGGATGGCTAACTGTTGTCCCCTCCAAAGTTACCTAATACCTCTTAGCAGCTCTCAACGGGGCTAGTCTTCTGGGTTTTTAGTTATGTCACTTTTTCCATTTTCAAATAAATGATTAAAACATGTATGTAGAGTGTACCCCCCAAGCATTTGTTCAGTTTGTACCATTGGTTTTCTGAAAGAAACCAATAAAGCCTTTACTGATCAGCTAAAGGGACAATGCTTAAAGTTAAAAAACAATCCACTGGACTTTGTTTCCAAGTTTGAAGACATTTTGCTTCCCATCCAGGAAGTTTTTTAAATTCAAAATGTCAGAAATACAGTGGAGTTCAAGGCTCTATACTGTAGCGCAAAAACTTGTTTTGGCTTAGAAATTATGCAAATTTAAACGGACAGGCAAATCCACCCCTTTGCAATTGGGGTCGTTTGGGTTCTATTGTTAGCCTGCAATGCCCCATACCCGTCGATGCCTCTGAAGAGGGTCCCAAAGGGAATTGTTGGCCTGGCTGAACAGGCGAGGTATTCTGTTCCCCTGCAAGGAGGTGGGGCTTGGGATGATAGCCGGAAGGAATCAACTCAAATGCTGTGTTTTAGGTTTTGAAGTCCACCCCCTCTGTTTAAGGTTGCTTTTTCTTTCTTAACATACCGTAGATGGCTTCCTTCACGCCCCTCTCAAACCACCTATTTCCTTTGTCGAAATGTGAACATTCTGTTCCTCAAAAGAATGTCATATGTCCATACGGTGTAGATTTACCGTCGAGTCTTGTCCCGAGGAGGTCGCTCTTCTGTGTTGGGCCATACTTCTTGGAAACAAAGACTGGAATGTTTTTTAACTTTTTAAAAATGACTATGATCTGGATCACTGAGAATCTTCACCAGCATATGGATAGCGTTTAGCATTTTACCTTTTTATATTAACTAGTGTTGTGGGGGATGAAAAATGCACACAGATGACCTTGGATCATTCTACTTGCTGTTGAAATTGATCTCCTATACTCTTTACCCCATGAGAGGTAAGACTGGGCTCTAAAATGGACATGGAGGTTACAGGCTTTATGATAGACTGGTAAGATAATTTATTAGGACACTTGTTTATTTTGGCGTTACGTTAAAAAATGGCAGTGTTATCCAGCAACTAGTTTGCCCTCCCAGCTGAGACGGCTAGTTTTTTGGTTAAGCCGGGCATACACTGCGATATTTTCAATCCTTGCATACAGCTACAGCTCAAACTATATGACGAAACTGCAGGGTTTAAAAGTTCACATCTTACCATGCACGTTCTCACACTGTACGACCCAACGTTCTGATGTGACCTTACATGGGGCGACTGTATTTCAAAAATGTTGGATTTTCTCCTGACCTTACGATTCCTGATCGGGAGGTGGTCCTGCTAGGCTATTCGCCCCATGTTACCCTCTGTATACTTAACGTCAAACGATCAGGCTGAAAGTCGGCCTGATCCAAAAATTCTCTCCCGATTGGAGAATCTGCCCGAAAAGAACAACAAATTATGCAGTGTATACCTGGCTTTAGCCAACACAGGATGAGCTTCCTTAACAGTTGCTGTTATTCCTCACTGGCGCAATAACAGCGGGCTTACGTCAGCTTTTTGCAGAAATATTTTCCATGTGACTCAACAGTTATTTAATTGTAGCTAATTTGTCAAAGGTCACAGGGTTGAAGTTTCCTCTACTCAGGAAGATGAGACCAAAGTAATAACAGTTTTCTTGTAAGGCTTAAATGACCAGCGTTATAAGCTTTGTAACATATTTCAGGAAATTACCACGTTTAACATTACTTAGACTTGTGATACATGATCAATTAGCTGAAAATATTAATAAAACAAGAGAAGGCAAATAATTTATAGGGATCAATAAAAAGTAGGATTATATATCTTTCTGTCCCGCATCACCTGATGGGACCGTTGGACTTGTGCTGGATGTTGACATTGTCACATTTATGACACTATGCAGTTTCTAAAGGAGTTATTATACCCTTAGGAGCAAAGCATCAGTTTTGTTTGCAATTCATTTAGCAAACCACTAGATGGGAGTGTATTTTACACACTGCGGCTTAAAATTCACACAATTGGTGGTCTTTGACACTATTTTATTCAACAATTATATGTGCCTTTTATAGTTTTTCAAGAAACTATATGTATTACGTTTCAACTGAGAGTATATTACACATTAAAAATGTAATGCAAATATCTTTTTCAATGCAGAGAAACCTTAATGGACCTAAGAAATTTATTTTTTGGAAGTTAGCAGAATAGAAACTCACCCCTTCACTAGTTCCACAACTATGAAGTCATTCCCATCTCCAGAGTTGAAGAGCATGAGGCCATCCGGCGTGGTGGTTTTAAACTGAAAGAACAGGTGCATGGAGGCATAGGCTTGTAAGGTGGCTAAAGCTAAGTAGCTGCCTTTTGTCCGAAACGTCACAGGATCTGCGATGATGTGACGCATTCCGAATCGGGCGTTCAGCTCGCAGTAGGAGATGTCTCCGTTTTTACACTGGTCCAGATATGGAATACTATTGAAAGTAAGGCCCTGTAGATGGCCAATGAAGTTTGAGGGCACCACGGAAATAAAGCGGCGCTCTGTCATGATGCCTGTCTCGATGTTGTGGAACTCAAGGCGTGTGTGGGCACCGGTCATCTGGCCTGGAAACACAAAAATACTCTACATCAGCTTAGGTTTTATTACAGTTTAAAACATTTTTACCTCCTTGCAAATGTCAATAAGTTGTCCAACTTTGATAAATAAAAAAAGAAACAATATTAAAATACACAGACTAAATATAATAAGCAAATATATTTTTAAAAGGTTTTAAAACAACAATCTGATTACTGCCAGTGCTGTCAAATCAAGAAATCCAGGTTGCCTTCGCTGATTAGCGGCCTGCCAAGAACATTCAGTACACCAAGATATATCAATAAGAGAAAAACTGAAACTAAACAAAAACATTTTGAGGCTTTGAGGCACCATTGAACCACAATAAAAGTCATAACCACTAATAGAGACACCACTGAGCACTGGTGAACCTTCTGAGGCTTTGCTTCCAAATTGCATCAAGATGAAATTGACATCACATCCTAAAGGAACCTGAAAATGCACCTAAAGCAACACAGGCCTCAATTGATTCGGCTAAAGTCAGAATTTGTGACTCAATGATAACCAAGAAATATAAGCAAGAAGATGTCAAAAAGGAGGAATGATGCAAACTCTTATTTGGTTATCTGGTAGTCTAGGGCTGCTTTAGAGCACTTAAAACAGGGGTGTCAAAGTCGTTCCAGAAAGGGCCGTGTAGCTGCTGCAGTAGCACACCAGACTCCATTCATCTCATCAAGGTGAGTCTAGTCTTAACCTGATGACTTGATGGGATGAATGGAGTCTGGTGTGCTACTGCTTGGGTGGAAAGAAAACCAGCAGCCACACGGCCCTTTCTGGAATGACTTTGACACCCCTGACTTAAAATGTCGTCAGTCTTACATGAATAGCCATTCATCTGAACACAAGAAAATTCCCTAATTTTCCCATAATGTAATGAAAAAAATATTTTGCTTTTTTATTTTATATGGTTAAACTCCAGATATTGTTGGATGAAAAAAAATATTGTTTTTGGTGGGGGGTGGGGGGTACATTTAATGATTTTACAGTAACTGTTATGTCAAACTTATCTTTGTAAGTTGTGTTGCTAATGTTCAACTGAGTGCCTTACCTCTCAAAAGCAGTTATTAAGATAACTTCAACTGTAAAATGTCAAAAAGACGAATCCTGCGTGCTGCTATTTCAGCAGAGTCAGGAGGGGTTGGGTTTTTTGGGGATGAATGGGTAGACTGGACCCTTTATTTTATTTGTATGTTTGCTGTTTGTAAGCTTATCGTTTCTTTGTGCACCACTAATTTAATGGTGTTAGGTAGGCTTACAACTGACGTTTGGTGTGCCAAGGAATACAGGCTAATTTTATTTGCATTATTGTGTCTAATAAGTGGATATGGCTAATAATAGTACAAATTACGCAGGCTCGGCCGTAAGATTTATATCTTGGAATTTTAAAGGCCTCAACGGTCCTGTAAAAAGAGGTAGAATATTCTCTAATATTAAAAACCTAAAAACAGATATTGCTTTTCTCCAGGAAACGCATTTAAATAACTCAGACCAATTGCGCTTAAAGAAACACTGGGTGGGCCAAATATTTCATTCTAGTTTTAACAGCAAAGCAAGAGGTACAGCAATAATAATGCACAAAAAAAATTCAGTTTAATGCTTCCAGTGTCATATCTGACCCACAGGGCCGGTATATAATAGTAGCAGGGACACTCTATCAGACACCCGTCTTAATGGTAAATATTTATGCTCCCAACTGGGATGATGTAGGATTTGCGCAAAGAGTTGTGTCTCAGCAAATGTCAAAATGTATTGATTATACAAATTAAACAACAACAGGGTGTCATCAGTCAAAGGCTTTGCCATATCCGGTGAAAGACTGACAGCCACAGAAGATCCTTGGTGCCTACAGTTATCAAGATAATAACTTATTGTTAAATAAATTCCATATGAGTTGCTACAGAAACAGCAATTCAAAATGGTCCTTCCCAGTCAAATGGCAGCCGAATGGCAACAGACTCCCCTCAAACTTCCAACCACTGGAGTAACCCCCTCTGGCATATTTTTTTGCACCGACTCCACCCTTTCACTGAATTACAGGGTCTGACCAGGAGATGATGCTTCACTTTAAATCTTAATGTCAAGGAAATTGGGGAAATTTTAAATGGCTACTGTTGTATGGGGAGTGGTGGCCTAGTGGTTAGGGTACAGGGCTCGGAATCCTGAAGTTGAGAGTTTGAAACCCACTGCCACACTGACCTTAGGCAATTTCTCACCTCTGCAGTGCAGTGCCCTGCCCTGGGCGCTGCACAGTGGCAGCTCACTGCTCTCCAAAGGGGATGGATTTAAAGCAGAGAGTATTATATTAGTTTATATCTATAATATCATATTTATTTATAATAGTAAATTTCCCTTTGAAAAAAAAGGAACTGAATAATAACTAAATAAATTGAATTTCATATATTAAATCTATAATTGTGACTGTCACAAAAAGCAAACATACCCTAATAAAAGAGAATAAGTTTTTTAAGTGCTTTCCTTAATTATAAATGTTTACCTCTAACTTTACATGTTGTGATAAATATTTTTTATCTATTTAAGCGTTTACTGGATTTAAGACATCTCTAATTGATTAGCTTTTGTTTTCTATCTCTTAATAGACGCCTGTTGGGGTATATTATCCAATCATGGTGCAGAAAATCTCTTTTTATGGCTTTATGAGTGAGCTGTGGAGTAATTCAGCAGGTAGTTTTTCCTCCACGTCAAATGGTTTCTGAACCAGTCAGGACTTCACAGGGTCACTTCTTGCCCCCGGCGCCGAACACGCACATTTCTTCCCTTCATAGCTCCCACCTCTTTCTTTCTTTTTTTGTTTTTCGTTGTTTTTGTCCATCAATTTTTTCACCTAGGGCCAAATACTGTGAGTTTATGTGACTCTCCCTTCTCTCAGTTATCAGCAAAAAATAATCCACTGTTCTCTTTTTTGCAGCGTCTACCTCATCAAAAGTTCTACTGTAACACATTTTTTAGTTTATTCTAAAAAAAATCTTATTTTCATCACTTTATGGTCAAATTATAAAGAACAACCACAGCAAAGTCGATGTGGGATGTGCTAAAGGCTGTGACTGTAGAAGGGGATTGATATTTACTCTATGAAGTTTCATGGAACAGTTACCCAAATGTTAGCAAGACTTTGACATTTAGGAAATATCACATTTTAGTTTCTCTATTAATACTCCTAAATACCATTTTTTACAACAATGGATCAAGGGATCTGTGTCCCAAACACAGCCCACCTTCAACTGTGACATTATCCACCGACAGCTGCAGGCTCTTGCCTCGTCGCACCACCTTCACCGTGTGCCACTCGTTGTCATTCAGTTTCTGCCCTGCGAACAGTGTCTCGGGTCCTTTGCCTGTGGGAGGAGAGATTTGAGTCACAAACAACCAGTGGAAATGATGTGAACCCTAATCCACACACATACAGACACTCTCCCTGGAACAAACACACATACACAGAGGATTTGCTCAAGGTAGGTGGTGTTAAGAAAACCTGCATGTTTGCAACACACATTAACATTAACAACCCGAAATAGCTGAAACGTTTAGATTTTTTGAGACCTACCGTTTAATCTCAATCATCTTGAAGCATAAATGTTGCAGTATCAGTCATTTTATATTTGGCTTTTTCGAGTGGAAGGAGCAATGGAATCATATTAGACATTAGGGGTGTAAATAATAATCGTTTTGTATCGATGCATCTATCCAAAAGCCGACGATCCGATGCATCGACACGTCCGCAAGATAATCGATTCATGTTTTTTTTTTTCCTCCGGTCTATTTTTATCCATTCGCTCCTGGGCGTAATCCTCCTCCCGTGCTGCGGTGGCGCTAAACCTATTTTGCCCTCCTACCTCGCTTCCAGGTTATACTCCTGCAGCAGTGTGTTGCAGCAAGCTTGACACAGACATTTTTAAATTATGCTCAATATTGAAGCGTGATCTGTGCTACACACTGTGGGTCTAGATACGGCTGAGGCGGCGAGGAAGTGGGGGCAAGTTTAGTCAGACGACGGAGGGACATGAGGGCCAAAAAGAGCGGAGATCCAGGTGGAAAAAGGGTCCCAGCGTTCTCGTGCACCTCGCTCTTCTAGCGGGTCAAACTTCACGAGTTGTTTTCCGCAATTTCGTTCATAAAAACAAAACAAGCTGGCCTCTGTGGCACTGTTTGCGGTCATCTACAATTTGGGAGAGGAGCAGAGGAGCGTCTCTCAAGGGGGCGGGGACGTCGGCACTCTGGAGCCGAGGTATTGCATTGCACTCATTGCACTGAAATAGTGCAGTATTTTTGCAGTATTTTTTGGTGCAACTTTTTTACTTCTGTAATTTGCTGTTGTTTCTAAAAAAAAAATGCATAACGATATTACAGCTTTCATTGATTTATTTCAAAATGGAAACTTTGTTTAGCCTGTAAGGTGTAAAAAAAAAAAAAATAATAATAATAAAAATTTTTTTACTGAATAATCGATTAATCGAATCGAATCGTGGTGTATTCTTGAGTATCGAAAATAATCGAATCGTTGGATTAGGAAATCGATACTGAATCGAATCGCCATGATGGATGTGATTTACACCCCTAGTAGACATGTATAAATCCCTTTAACAACCCCCCCTTCCAGAGATATAGACAGGTATCGGGCGTTCATCCGTTTCAACTTGCATGTTTTCTAAAAAAACAACAACAATGCTTTGTTGGATAACTCTGTATATGCTGGAACTAATGCTGTTTTTGACATTTTCAATTGAAAAAGCTTCCTTTAAGGGAAACGAAACTAATTCAAACTTGTAAACAAAGTCCAGTGGATTTTTTTTTTTTTACATTTTTGGAATGACTATGACCTGGGAGACTAAGAATCTTCACTATAGCATAGAAATGTATAAACAATCCCTTTTGTTCTGCCTACCATACTATAACAGACCTCTGACATGCCTTATTTTCTAAACTATTCAACAGTTAGTTATCAAAACAGACTTCATAGGAGAAGTATATATTTTAAATACTAATTACAAAACAGCGAAAAACTGTCATTTTTAAGTTTTAATGGATTTACATAAATATTGTTTGAAAGATGTTGCCATTTTAATGCTGCAGTGCATTATGGTTCATGGTATTTTATATTTGATGTCTTATTGATGGAAAAAACTAAAATATTCTGAAATTATCATATTTTTTTTCTGTTGAGTTTCTAGGGATTTTATAAATATGATCAAAAATGACTCCTTGTTTTGGTTTTTGATCAGTCAGAGACAAATTCATGATCTTCCTTTATATAAGAAATTATTCAGTTATGCACCAAACTAGTAATTTAGTAGTTTTATTTATTTTGGGGAAAGCATGCCATTTTGAAGTCTCGCTTTTCTTCATGTTATATTCTTGTCTTATCAGTTATCTAGATGTATTTCACAACATATTGGGGTTTGTATTAATGCCTTTCGAATGGAAGGAAACAGTAAGAAACACTCAGCTTTTCTCTTATCGCAAGTATGTCAAACATACTTGAGAGATTCAGTTATGGGATGATAAGGGAGCAGAGCTGCAAGTAAATGTTTGGTTGTAAGATCTCCCTCTTTGTTGTGTTGTTTATCTTTTAAAGATGCAGTTCATGTTTGAGGGAATATTGTAGGTTATGTCGGATTTCAAAGATAAAGTTTGTTTTTTATGAACTGCTGGACTGGATGTGAATCATATGCATTGAACCAATATAAAATAGATCCTTTCCATCATAACAATGTAAGTATCCCTCCGAGGTGTGATTCCCATCTTGTTTACATTCAGGCATCAGGTGGACATATGGAACGGCTTGTTAATTGGAAAGAAAACTGAGCAAGATGAGATGAAATAGGCGTACAAACTGGCAAATGGACAAAAAGTGCAGCAGCCCTTTGTTCATCAAACTAAAACAGAGAACAGCTGGAGGGCAAGATCAAAAAATTCAAAAGCTCTGTCTTTAAACTGCTCACTGTTTCTGCCATTTTGATTCTATACATCAAACATCACCCTCCTTGGCTCTACAACATATCAATTCCACCAGTGAAGGAGACCACTTCATGCTGCGGCAGATGGTGTTGCCGAGACGCTTATTAGAGAAATATTTGTATTAGCAGGGAACAGGCTATTTATACACAGTGAACAACAAAGCTCGATTGCATCAGCGAGAGAGTGACAGTGCCAAGAATGGCTGATTTTAATTAAAACAACAGTCATGGATCCATTCTCCAGTGCTGAATGATAAGCTAATGTGATTTCCCACAAAGGCCGAGGCAGCAGCTGGCAAACGCTTCAGCTGGAGTTTAAAGATTTCAAGTCGACATAAAAAAGGGAAATATAGAAAACGACACTGAGAGAAAAATCATTCAACACATGGCTTTAGAAGCTGGAGGCCAAACATTAGTGCATGTGCACATTGTCCTAGCATTGAGGTGATGAAGGTAATAAGTAATGAAAGAAAAGTAGGAACATTTTGTAAAGAGCAATACACTAAACAGAAACTTCCACTTCAATAGCTACGGGGCAGTCTAAAATAGCATGTTGCTCGGGGGTACCAGTCACTTCCATTAAGCTTTTCTCTGTATCGCCCACAATGGTAGGAGAGTTGTGGAGTGGAGAGATAGTCCAGTTTGTTTTCTTAATAAAGATGTTAAGTTGGGAGATTCTATCTTTCTTAAAGTAGTGATTTGTTGTTATAGAAGCAATATTTGAAACCTCAGCCCAGTTCCAGGGTCAGTGGCTGTTTTCCGGTTGGTTAGCCAGGGAAAGCCTGAGAGTATTACAGCCACCGCTTGAGTGGATGATATACTGGAGTCTGCCGATATATGATTGTCCCATCACATTGATGTGAAGGTATTTAGTATATGAGGAGAGGGGAGGAGGGAAATCCTGTCAAATGATAAAAAACATACCACAACCAGCATGAGGATTGTTTTCTATTTACTGCTCTAACCAAGGTTCGTACGGATGCTGGAAATCCTCGAAAATGCTTGCATTTTGAAGTTGTGTTTTCAAGGTTTGAAAAGTGCTTATATTTTGGATGAAATGCTTGAAAATGCTTGAAATAACTATTTCTTTCGCAACAAATACCTATCTAACTGAATCGTGTGTTTATTAAATGGAGAAATAAAATGTTGGAGAGCCCGAAAATGAAACCTGCTCGCTTATGCGTGACTGCGATCTGCCAGTCTATTTCCATGTGTGACTCCGCCCCCATGAAACCACTACTGCACCATGCCGGGAGGTTGTCGTTTCAATGAAGTTGGCTGGAAGATGAAAAATACAAATTATGGATTAAACGGGGACAAACCCCAAGAGTTGCCTCTTGTAAAGTCTGCAAAAAAGGTGTACAGCTTTTCACAATGGGTGAGTCTGCGCTCTCGAGTCACATGAAGGGTAAGTCATAGACTTTTTTTGTAAGCCAACTGAAGTAGCCTAGTACACGTTAACCTTAGCGCCTATTTGTTTACGCTAGTAACTGCTAGCTAGGAATTCACAGGCTAAGTTACTGAGTGACTGAGAGTACGGTCTGAAAATGTAATGTTATTATTGCAGTGTTTCCCACACACTATCTTGCCTCGCCAAACTCATGCTACCGCCTCGCCAACGTTCCAAAAAAAAACAAACAAAAATGACGGTCAATGAGCTGAATCTGATTGACTGTCTACCTCAAAGACGAATGTTTGCATTTTTATATTTTCAATAAATTAATTGAAAGTGAAGTGAACCTGTTGAGTGATTTTGTTGAGTGACATTGGCCGTTTCTCAATTCGACGAGTACGTACTCGCGTTCTCGTCAAGTCCGTTCTTGGCGAGAACGCAGGAAGATTGGACTTGAAGAGAATGCGAGCACGCAAGAATGTATGTGTATTGGAACAGAAGGGTACTTGTGATGTCATCACATGCAACGTTCTTTAGCATTTCTTTAACAGTCAAAACTATTTATTCCCTACACATAACATTTTGAAAACAATGTTTTTAATTTCTAAAGCTTAAAAAAACATTTAAAAAAATTACCGAACCCTGGGTATAAAACCAGCAATGGCGGGAATTTCTTTGTTGGGAGTTGTCAGAACGAGCGGTAGTTCACACATAACTAGACCGAGAGAAGTGCACTACAGACGGGGTAACATTAGCCCTGGCTGCGGTTACCCTCGGAGGTCTGCTGGTCACTCTGGTCCGCTCAACGTCGGGCTTGTAAGCGCTGTCTCGAATCAAGCTGCGGCCGCGGGGCATTCTGGGGAAGCGGTCAGTCTGAAGAACGCACAAGTCTGCTCTGATGCATGCTCGATAAAGAGGGCGGGGCGAGAACAACATCCGGGGATTTGGTGCGTTCTCGATCTAGCGTTCTCGAGAATTGGAATGGTAC